ACTTGTTACTTTTGGTGCTAAAAGATACATTTTGCTACAAACATTTTTAAGCCTTTTTTGTTGTCAACTGAATGTTTTTTGTTTCCTTAAATTTTATTGCTGGTTTCTAGTCTGTGGGCTGTTTGAAGCCTTGGCATTAAAATAGCATGGCCACCAAGGTATTAGAGCAGCCTTTCTCAACCAGGGTTCCGTGAGGTTTCTTCAGGGGTGCCTTGACAAAATGTCCACAGATTGCCTAAAACTTGTATACAAGCCAGCAGGTGGAACAAGCCTGCCTTTTAGTTACACAAAGCCACAGGTTTTCATAGTGCATCATTACAACCTTCTAGCCGCAGGCATCCGGACAGCCAATAACATCATCAGTTGATAAGGAGGTTGTTAGCCACCTGCACAGCGTCCTAGTTTGACCTTCTCTTGCCTCTCTCTGTCAGTGCTGGGATCACATTAGCTCAGTGATGGAGAAAAACTGAGGGAGAAGAGAAACATTGGAATACTAGTCAGTACCAGTATGCAGAAGTGTATTTGCTTTGAAAAATATATCACCTCCATCGTTGGGTATCCTACATGTGTGGATGTTGCTGCGTTATATAAAACTATTAAAATAGTTTTTTCACATTTTAGAATGGGGTGCCTCAAGACTCTCCATGATTTTAAAGCGTGCCTCGGGACTGTCCATAATTTTAAGGGGTGCCTCGGGACTGTCCATAACTTTAAAGGGTGCCTTGACGGAAAAAAGGTTGAGAAACACTGTATTAGAGTATAGCTTAATAGAATATTTATATTTCTGTAATAAGTTAAATTTTCTGGATTAAAATGAGCAGAGCAAGTTTGAAAAGTTGTTTAAAAGGTAAGGCCTCTCAGTGATGATAAAACAACCCTTTAACCATGTTTCAACTGCCCTATATGAGAAGCACTGCTGCAGGGCTGCGCAAAATCATGTGTTTTTATATACATGTTTTTGTATTTCTGGGTAGGGGGCACATGCCGCCATTAAATAAAGCTGTCGGGCCTGAGATTCCCCGCTGGCACCCGTCGATCACCGAGGAACACTGACAGAGGAAAGGTCTGTATGTAAACAATACAGATCTCTCCACTGTCAGCACCAGCACGCTGCTTTGTATTGCTCTGCATAGCAGAGCAATACGAAGCATAGGAGAGCAATACGAAGCAGCGTGCTTACACAGTAAAACACACACAGACAAAATAGTAAAACTGCACACAGTTAACCCTTTAATCGCCCCAGATGTTAACCCCTTCCTGCCCAGTGTCAGTACAGTGTCAGTGATTTTTATTAGCACTGATCACTGTATTAGTGTCAGTGGCAGAAAGCCTGCTGGAGTCCCGCTATAAGTCCCAGGTCACCACCATTACTAGTATTACAACAAAAAAATACAGTATATATACTGCCATTTGCCAGTGTATATATACTGCCATTTGTAGACGCTTTCAGGTAAACCAATAATTTACACGTATTGTGATTTTTTTTTTTTTTTTTTTTTTTTTAGCAAAGACATGTAGCAGAATACATTATGGCCTAAATTTATGACGAAATTAGATTTTTATTTTATTTTTTTACTGGATATGTTTTATAGCAAAAGTCAAAAATATATATTTTGTTTTTGAAAAAGTTGTTTTCAAAATTGTCGGATTTTTTTGTTTATAGTGCAAAAAATAAAAACCACAGAGGTAATCAAATACCACCAAACGAAAGCTCCATTTGTGGGGGAAAAAAGGACATAAATTTCATTTAGGTGCAGCGTTGCATGACTGCGCAATTGTCTGTTAAAGTAACACAAAAAAAATGGCCTGGCCAGGAAGGGGGGTAAATCCTCTGGAGGGCAAGTGGTTAAAGGTGCAAAATTGTTGTGCTGCTGGTGTTCTGAGAACAACTGACAATGAAACAAGTAGCTTATATGATATCATATCAATCCATCCTGTAGGTTATAAAAATAAAGAAAGCAACTAATAGTCTTTGAAATGTTCACAAAAATAAAAAGTATGGGGTCATCGGTGAGTCTGTCATTTGTTCCTTTTCTGTGATAAGAAAATAGGCAGAGTTAGCATAAAGTGTGTCAGTCCTTTCTCAGTCAGCAACTTACAGGGGTAAGTGAATGCCAATGTAAGTGCTATTCAACTGCAGGTGCATTGCTTTAACTAGGAGGAATAATAGTTGAAAGGACTGGAATTAGTGGCATGTTGCATTAGCCTTTTGTAGCGTATTTTATACTAAGCATCTTAATTTCCCTGTCTGAATGGGAAGCAGCAAGAGTGTGGGTTTTCAACTAATACTCATCATGCATGTAAACGGTGTGAAAAGGGTCCATTGGTAAGTGAACACAGAGTGTTCTTGTGTCCGCCCTTGTGGAAATAGATACAATACAAACATTTCAGATGAACACGCTGTAGACTCCATTGAGTGAAAACCTGCCTTCATTGTTTAAGCACCCTCCCCTACACAGTGAGAACAGAAAGTCCATGAATAGGAGTGCAAGCTCATTTTGTCCCATGCACTGCTAGGCTTTTAGGGACTGCACTGAGGGGGCACGTTTTTTGTTAAGTTGAGACCAATTCATTAAGTTTTATTGCCTGGTGAGAAGCTGTAATATGTTATTGTGTAAGTTCATCAAACATTCATAAGTAGTAAATGTATTCATTCAAGTGGTCTTAGGGGGATTTGAAAAGAAACATGAAGTCTGCTCAGCTGACAGTCTACAGGGAGACAGCGCTTGTTTAACAAGCTTACGTATAATCTCTGATTACGGTTTGTCTGAGAGGATTTCCTCTTTTATTGTTGGAAATCTGCATAAAATCAGCCGTGTTCAGAACTTGTAATGCCTTGTAATCCCAAATTGAGGAGCTTGACTTACACTTCAGTTTTCTTTAAACACATTTTTGTTATTTTTTTATTTAAATCTCTTCTAGACAACCTTTTTGGGAGTTCTTTATTTAATTTTACCCCCTCAGCCCTGTTAATCCTTGCTCTGTTATTACTTTCACGTCCCCCTTTTGTCACCAAAGCAGAATTGCACCTGTCTTTGCTTGAAGAGGGTGAGACTTTGACTGCACCAAAGATCTTTTTTTAAATTTTATTTCTTGTGTAAATTACATTTTTTTGTTTGCTTGTATGTGAAGAGAATTATACATTTTCTGAACATGTACTGCTGGAAAAACACTCATTACAAGATGCACTGAAATGGATCGATTTTTATTAATGTAAATCTGTCACTCGTCTAAGATAAATGTTTTTTTGACCAAAGATCTAGTGAACCACATTTGCCTTCAGAAACCGTTTACCTTACAGAAATGGTCACCTAAGGCCAGATGCCCTTACATTGCCAACCCATGTTGTTGATGTTATATGGCACCTCACTATATTTTTGCTTTGTATTATAAGGCTTTACATACTCTGGTCTTCATTGTCTTTGTGTTTACCTTCTTAAACTTCTCCTTCTGTGCTCTAATTTTTCTTGTCACTGCTCAGACTCAATCTTTCCCAAAGACACCAGCATACACTTGTCAGAACCATTACCAAACACCCTATCTCTCCAAATGTCTATGCCCACTCTTGGCTCATGGAACATACAAGTTGTCATGTATGATCAGCATAGTATTAACCAAGAGTTTTAATCCTGCTTGGAGTGACAATTTGGCTACTGAGAGGGAGGCAATATATGATGATTAGTTTGGGGTGGTTGAAAGTCGTAGCAACAAAAGCCCAATCCACTTGCCACCAATGACATTCTACAGCATAATATAACAAGTTAGCTAGGTACCACCAAGAGCATGGTCATGGAGCACAACTTGAGAAACAATTGTCTAAACTGGTGCAAATTTTCTAAACTGATACGGTCGCTCTGCAATGCCTGCACTTTGTGGAGTCCACTCGGAGGTCAAACCTATACAGGTTCTGTTGTGCAAATACTCATTAGGTCATGAATTCCTTGTGCCCTGCTCTTCCTGTGCCTCGGTGAAGGTCATTAAAGGTGCTCATAGTTACAGAACAATAGTGTGGCAGGAAGGGGAAAGCCAAAGTTCAGCATAAGTAAAGGGAATTGGTATTTTTATAATTGAGCTCCAGAGGTTTTAGGGCTCCCTGGGTGATCTTGCAAGACATCTCTTGAGGTTGTTAAGTACTCCTTTGCAAAATTACAAGAGAAGTACCTCGCCCCTTATTTTACAGATTTCTGCATTCCATCATGGCCATGTTCTCTTCATATGTTTGTTTTTCTTGCAAATAGCAGTTTGATACATTTTTATTGTTATCCATCAGACCTATCAATCCCCAGTCTGTACTCAAAAGGGGGAAGCATTACCACCCCTAACTGCATGTGATGCACTCAACCTCAAGCTGATTTTATGCACTTCATTTACAGTTGGCCAGTTGGCATAGTTGATTTCTGGAAGCAAGTGACTGCTTTCTAAGCTTCTCTATAACATGTATACCTGAGATTTGTCTATTTGATGGAAAACGCTGGTCACAACAACACAATATTTCTACTGTTCCTGGCCCATAAGACCATAAGTATTAGATGGATAAACCCATCTCCCCTAGTGTATTCCAGTGGAAATTATTAATAAACAAGGTCATTTCTGGCAAAAAAGTTGTGAATGGTAGAGGAAACTGCACTCTCAGATTTCATAAAGTCTGGAGCCTAAGGTTGCACTTACTTTGAATTTAAGGCAAAAACACCCCACCTATCCATTGAAATCTCTGAGGTCTCTGATAAGCCTACCTTGAAGGATACCTTGAATTATTTTCTAGACATATTCAGATCAGAAAAAAATCATTGTGTGCAACTTTTTAGCAATGCGTTTTTGTATCAACAAAAATATATCTTGTATATCAAGGGATGCTTCTAATTTAACTTCCACTTTCCATACTTATGTTGACTTTGTGCTAAAAATCAAATAATGTTTGCTTTTTTTTTACATTAGACTCGATACTTGGTGACTGTTCTCTTTATTTCTGTTATAATATAGTTAACTCTCTTCTGTTTCAGGCTGATGATGTTGAAAACAAAATTCGAGAAATCGTCCCTCCAGGATTTTGCTGTGGGACAGATGACTTTATATCGTTATTAGAAAAAGAGGTTAACTTTAAGCCCTTTGGCACCATAGCTCACAGCTATAACATTTTTAATGAAGAAGCTGGGGAGGAAATCACCTACCAAATATGTAAAGTAAGTCTTTTATTTCTAAAAATGTTGTGTTTGTATACAGGTATGGAAATTCCACTCCTACAACAACTAATTCTATAAAACTGACTGAGTCAGTTTGACAGAGTAGTTTCTCTATTTTTTGTGAACATGATGCAAAAAGTGATCTGTTCCATAGAAGGCAGTCCTAGTGGTTCTAGTTATCTTAGAACGCCTATATCTCCTTGTTACATACAGTAATGCAGTTTCTTGTTTTGCAGAGCTCAGGAGTTAGGCAGGGTATACTTATACATGCACAGTTTAAGTTCAGCCAGCAGGTTGAATGAAAAAAAAAACCTGACAGATCCCCTCATCAGCACAAATGATAATGCAGAGATCTTTCCCACTGTGTCTCTATTCTGACAGGGTGGGCTTCCGTTGTCAGAATACATAAAGCAGCGCTTGCAGCCATTGGCTGATCAAATGTTGGGTTTCCAGCATGACTGTTCATCAGAAGCCAGTCAGTAGACCAGCGTCTGTTGAACAGACAGTGGTACACATGTACCGAAATTCTTTGGTTCCTGCTGAACTCGACAAATTGGGCTTTAGTTAGTATTCATATTCTGAATAAATGTGGTATTGCAGCATGACTATACAGATACAATGTGCCTCCTTAAAGATGCAGAACGGCAGACTCTAGTCAATACTATAATAGTGTTTACAGTAACAGGAAGGAGGATGAGCTAAAATTTGACTGTGCTATTTAAAAAAAAAAAAAAAGGGGGGGGGGATTTAAATTTAGTCTTTAAAGTGATTCTAAATGCTTAAATTAAAAAAACAAACATGTCTGTACTTACCTGCTGTGCGCAGAGGTTTTGCATAGAACAGCCCAGATCCTCCTCTTCTCGGGTCCCCCGTCAGTGTTCCTGGCCCCTCCCTTCTGTCAGGTGCCCCCACAGCAAGCAACTTGCTATGGGGGCACCCGCTGTTCTGTGCGTCCATTCACCCCCCCCCTCTCATTGGCTCACTGGCTTCAGCTGCTGTCTCAGCCAATGAGTTAAGGGAGTTCCAGGATAGCCAAGACTCTCGTGCACATCGCTGGATCGAGATGGAGCTTAGGTGAGTATTGGGGGGGGGGGGGCTGTTGCACAGATAATGTTTTTTACCTACATGCATAGAATGCATACATAAAGGTAAAAAACCTTAAGCCTTTAGAACCACTTCAATACCGGGCACTTTCACCCCCTTTCTGCCAAGGACAATTTTCAGCTTTCAGTGCTGTCGCACTTTGACAATTGCGTGGTCATGCAACACTGTACCCAAACTAAATTTGTATCATTTTGATCACACAAATAGAGCTTTCTTTTGGTGCTATTTAATCACCAGTGTTAATTTCATTGTTGAAATTAACACTATTTTAGCCAACTAAAATATGACTAAAACTAAAATTACATTTTAGTCAAAACACTATGACTAAAACTAAATTGAAATCAATACATTTTAGTTGACTTAAATATAACAGGTTTAGTAAAATTATAATGCATTATTTAAGCACTTCTGCAGAATTTCTGAACTCATTATATACTCCTAGAGTATAAAATCCAATAACATGTTATTACTTATGGTATTAAGGTTTGAATGTGCACGACACAGATTTAGCCATTGTGATATATAACTTGTATACGCTAAAACTAAATTCAAATGACTTAACTACAACTAAAGCTAAAATGGCATGTTAGTCAAAAGACTACGATTAAAACTAAATCGAAATTTGATTATTTTGATTGGACACTGCAATCGCATGGTACCAACAGTGGGCCGGTACAGTGATCTGTCACACGTGAGGCGTGTTCTGGGGGAGGATGTCATATGAGGTCCACCCTGAACAAGAGAGCTTCTGCCTGACCTATAAACAAATGGCCCGGTGCTCTGTCCCATGTCATGTGCTCTGCCCTCATGTTGTGTGCCCTTCTGAGCCACTGTACCCTGCCCTGCTTCCCTCCCCCCCCACACAATGTTTATCTGAAGTTGGACCCAAAATGGAGCATCTCTGCAAAAGTTTAATATTAAATAGGTATGTTTAATATTTATCACTTTATTTAATGCTAGTTCTAAAAAATAATTATCAACAACTTGCTGATCATACCTATAATGTTCCATAAGTTGTAGAGGTAAACATTATTTCAGGGACCCAAAATCTCGTATGTTTTGTCAGGGGGTCCTCGAAGGTAAAAAGGTTGATAAACTCTGGTTTAAGATATACAACCCCAGTTAACACATACAACTAGAATACTGGTAAAATAGTAATAATCAGTTAGCAACGTTTAACAAATTATACAGTCATGAGTAGTAAGCTTCAACACCAGCAGTAAGAGGGGGAAGAAAAGGCTTGTTGACTTATCTCCCTCTAGGTCCCTTATACTAGAATTGCAACTTGAGTCCTGCGATGTTTAACGTTCCTGTAGGGTGGCATCCATTTTTCTTCTGCTAGCAATGGTGGGGCCCATAAATAGTAGTGGATATTGGTAATTCAATGAAGTTAGACAGGCTGTGGTTCTGCTCAAAGCAAAGATCTCCTTATACTGAGGTGTAAATGTGTCTGCATCCAGAGTCTCTAGAGTGATGACAGAAAGTGGTTGGGCTTCTGCCCGCTCACCGATTCACATGGATGGCACAGCTCTGGTAGTTGTAGTTCAGTCAGCACTCAGGAATATAAGGTTTATTGCCTACAGGACTACAGGTCCCAAGATCCTCTGCTGTAGAAAAACTAATCCACTCTAACTGGAAGTGATGTAGCAGTCCCAGTACTGGGCACTAGGGGGAAAAGGATTAACCATAGTCTTTATCTGCAAATGTACCTGAATGGCATAATGATATAACCAGCACCTGGCTACACACATATAAATGTATTTATTTTTTGTAGCAAGACCACAAAATGTGCACAATTTCAGTCTAAATACCCAAACAATTGGTTTGAATTGGTGCGTGTACTATTTGTGTCATTGCAAGAATACAGGTGCATTTCATAGTGTGTTTTCAGCACAAAGGTGCACTATGCAATAAAAATGCCATCATTATTATTATACAGTATTTATATAGCGCCAAAAGGTTTGCTCAGCGCTGTACATTATAGTGGGGGACAGTACATGAGACAATACAGTAACAGAACAATACGCAAGGGGTTCGAGGACCCTGCTCTTTCGAGTTTACAATCTAGGAGGGAGGGGATAGTGGTACAGGAGGAAGTGGCTGTGGGGGATGGAGTGGTAGGAGGAGTGGAGGAGATCGGCTGTTAGGTGAGGGTGGGGTAGGCTTCCCTGAAGAGATGGGTTTTCAGGGTGCACCTAAAGGTGAGGAGTGTAGGTGACAGTCTGATGGATTGGGGTAGTGAGTTCCAGAGGATGGGGGAAGTCCTGGAGAAGTCCTGCAGTCGGGCGTGAGAGGAGGAGACCAGGGAGCTAGAAAGTAGGAGGTCTTGTGAGGAACAAAGATTACGGGTTGGGTGGTATTTGGGTATCAGGTCGGTGAGGTAGTCTGGGGCAGCATTATGAATGGCTTTGTATGTCAATGTTAGTAGTTTGAATTTAATGCGTTGGGCAGTCGGAAGCCAGTGGAGGGAATGACAGACTGGGTGGCAGAAGCAGAGCGGTTGGTAAGGTCTGGCCGCTGAGTTCAGGATAGATTGAAGAGGGGATAGCCTGTGTTGGGGTAGGCCGGTGAGAAGGAAGTTGCAGTAGTCCAGACGTGAGATAAGGGAGTGAACGAGTTGTTTAGTAGTGTCTGGGGTTAGGAATGTACGTATTTTGGAGATGTTGCGGAGGTGGAGCCTGCATGAGTTTGCCCAGCGATTGGACATGGGGTTGAAGGACAGGTTTGAGTCTAGAGTGACATCTAGGACTTTGGCTTGCGGGGTGGGACTGATGGTGGCATTGTTGGTCATCATATGATTTTTTTAAATTCAGAAACATTATTATAAATGGTTTTACTTTTAATATATCGGTTTTGAGATGCCACACACCATATTTGATGTCTGACCCTGACTTTGCATGTTGCTGTAGGCTGACATGACCTGTCCAGGCTTCAGAGAGTACCATGAAAGGCTCCAGACGTTCTTGATGTGGTTCATTGAAACGGCCAGCTACATTGATGTGGATGATGAGCGATGGGACTACTTTTTGGTGTAAGTGGCCTTCCAAATCAACATTCGACTCTCCTTTTTTAACAAATCTTGGAGGTTTAATTGGCAGACACCAATTATGCAGCAACAGTATAATGATATTTTTTCCCAGGCATGATAAACTATTGTTTACAAGGCTCACAGTTTCCCTGCATTGTGTTTGCGGAGGCCTCCAGAATAGCACGGAATTAAACTCTGTTGTCTGTGGGAGCTCTGAATGTGGGCTTTAAGAGTAAAATGAGCTTTGCCTGTGTTCCCTTTTACTAGCCACCCATTCAAGTGCACAATAGGCAAGTGCACTGAAGTGATGCAAAGAGGGCTGATTTATCCAAGTTGAGCTCACCAATTAAGTGAATTGTACATTTCAGAATAAAGCAGGTGTACCCATTGGGCCCTCACAGCGTAGCTTGCTGACACTGGAAACTCTCTGAGAGAATGGAAAAGGAAAATGGACCCTGCATGGGAGCTTGCCTGTAATTGACCTGCTTGGCTTTCTGTTTTATCTGCAGATTTGAGAAGTACAATAAGGACGGGACTACACTCTTTGCGACTGTAGGCTACATGACAGTCTATAATTACTATGTGTACCCAGACAAAACCCGGCCACGTGTAAGGTAATTGCCAACGATGCACGTGCCTCCTCTTCTTTTTTTTTTTTTTTTAACTCCTTTTTTTGTTTCTTTCACAATTGAGTCTCACTCACTTTCCCAATCTTACCTATAATTGTGTTTAGGGTTTTTTTTTTTCTTTTAATATATATAGAGTACAAATGGGAAAAGGGGTGAAGATTGATTCTGTTTAGTTAAAGCTGGACTGATCTGCTAAACCATAATTGTGTCTTATTGTGCAAAGCCAAATTAATCCAAAAAGATGCATTAAAGGTTAAAGATTTTTTTTTAATTCTCTCTCCCCATCACTATGAGCTGGAAGCGGTGGCAGAACTAAACAAAATGCATAGGAGCATTAAAGAAAGCACAAAATATTTTGAGTTGTCAATACTATATTTATACATTTATCATAAAATTAGCTTTTGCTGTAATACTAACTCTTAAATTATATTTTTACCAGTCCTTAGGTGTAGTGGCTGCATTAGTTTTCTTAATTTTTAATTTTTTTTTTTTTATTTTCGCCTTGTAATATTATGAATAACACACTTCCTGTTCCTGGGTGGCTACACTCACTTGTTCCTCTGTGTATATATAGAGGGAGGGCATAGTTGCCACTGGGCTGGACTTCAGCATACTTGCTGTACATAGGGTCATTTGATTAGTCGCAAGTGACAAGGGCACCGCAATTCTGGCAAGATCAGCATGTATCTTCTGTACTTACTGAAAATGTTCTAGACCTGACAGTTGGGTTTAGTAGTGCTTTAATCCAGAGCTGTCCTCTACAGGACTTCTTTTTTTGTCACTAAATAAATATCCTAGTTTTTTGGTTTGAATGACAACCAGCTTCAATAAGTCCACTTCCTCCAATCAAAGACCAGTCCCCAGGGGGGCATCATCAGGCAGGTGGGCTCAGAGGACTACTGCACTGTTGCTGCTGTTAGGGATCCTCGGTAGATTTGTGATGTCATTTAACAGTGTGGAGAAAAAGGTATTGTACAAGATTTTGGCATTGTCAAATGTATAATATTGTTGCAAAAACACAACTGTGCACACCTCAGAGGATTTAATTACAAAAATATAAATAAAACACAAGTTCTGTCATCTGCCACATAACAGACAGCTAATAATATTAGATAATCCTTATACGTTTTGCTAAATTCCAGTAAATTTCAGTGACCTATAAATTATTGGAGCCATTGTTATGTAATACAAGCAAAGAACTAGCATTTTTAAGGAGAGCTTTGACTGTTTATATACACTTCTCAAAAAATTAAAGGAACACTTTTTAATCAGAGTATAGCATCAAGTCAGTTATACTCCTGGGATATTGATCTGGTCAGTTAAGTAGCAGAAGGGGTTGTTTTACAGGTGGAGGCAACTGACATTTTTTTTCCCTACTCATCTTTTCTGACTGTTTTTCACTAGTTTTGCATTTGGCCTGGGTCAGTCTGACTACACAATACCTGGACCCTACAGAGGTTGCACAGGCAGTCCAACTCCTCCAGGATGGCACATCAATATGTGCCATAGCCATAAGGTTTGCTGTGTCTCCCAGCACAGTCTCAAGAGCATGGAGGAGATTCCAGGAGACAGGCAGTTACTCTAGGAGAGCTGGACAGGGCCATAGAAGGTCCTTAATTAGCAGGACTGGTATCTGCTCCTTTGTGCAAGGAGGAACAGGATGAGCACTGCCAGAGCCCTACGAAATGACCTCCATCAGGCCACTGGTGTGAATATCTCTGACCAAACAATCAGAAACAGACTTCATGAGGGTGGCCTGAGGGCCTGACCTCCTCTAGTGGGCCCTGTGCTCACTGCCCGGCACCATAGAGCTCGATTAGCATTTGCCATTGTACACCAGAATTGGCAGGTCCGCCACTGGCCCCCTGTGCTTTTCACAGATGAGAGCAGGTTCACCCTGAGCACATGTGACAGACGTGAAAGGGTCTGGAGAAGCCGTGGAGAATGTTATGCTGCCTGTAACATCGTTCAGCATGACTTTTGTTGGTGGGTCAGTGATTGTCTAAGGAGGCATATCCATGGAGGGACGCACAGACCTCTACAGGCTAGACAATGGCACCCTGACTGCCATTAGGTATCCGGATGAAATCCTTGGACCCATTGTCAGACCCTACGCTGGTGCAGTGGGCCCTGGGTAATTCCTGGTGCACGACAATGCCCAGCCTCTTGTCGAGAGAGTATGCAGGCAGTGCCTGGAGGATGAAGGAATTGATACCATTGAATGCCTTGGTCCAGATCTGGCAAAAAAATCCCCCAGGATACCATCCGTTGTCTCATGTCCGACGTTGTTAGGCATGCATACAAGCATGTGGAGGCCATAAAAACTGAGTACCATTTTGAGTTGCTGCAATGAAATTTCAACAAAATGGACTAGCCTGTTGCATCATTTTTTCACTTTGATTTTCGGGGTGTCTTTGAATTCAGTCCTCTGTAGGTTGATAATTTTAATTTCCATCAAACGATGGGGCATCCTTACATTCCTAACACATTACCCAGTCAATATCAGTATAGAAATCCAGCATGAGATTTTTCCCCATTGAGATTTGATGTATTTTCAAAGTGTTCCTTTAATTTTTTTGCGCAGTGTATTTCTGTCATCCCAGGTTTCTTATACAGAAAGGTTGAGGCTAATGCATACATACAGTCTGAGCTTGGCATCACTAAATAAAAACGACTGAGTGCTGAATATGTTTATAGTTTCTGTATTCACAGAATCCTGACTTGCTGCATAACGATATAGATATATTTGGGTTCCCAAGATGAAAATACACATTTTTTATTTATTTTTTTTTTTTGCAGCCAGATGCTGATTTTGCCTCCATTCCAGGGCGAGGGACATGGCGCCCAACTACTAGAGACTGTTCATAGATACTATGTTACTTCTCCCAATATTTTGGATGTTACAGGTATTGTGTTTATTTTTTTGTGCTACGGTCTATTTTAAAGCCAAATTTAAGGCAAACCGCTAAATACACTGTTGAAAAATATATTTATATATATATATAATTCTGTTTACCTGCATTTTTACCTAAGTACAGCCTTGTGATTTACAATGTTGTATAGCAAAAAAAGAGTAACATAAATAGTTCCAGGTTAAAGCAGTTTTTCTTTTTACTGGTTTTGCAATCCAGTTTCCTATTTCACCTCTCTACCTTCAGCATCCTCATTGGACAGATCTGTGTCATTAGAACCTTTTGTCTGATGAGCATGGCTTTGACCACGGAAACAGTAAACCGATACAGTGAGTTTACTGACTAGGGGGGTTCAAGCACGATTGGCCAAAATGCCAAACTTTGGCAGGTAAAACTTAAACATGCTGTGTGTCATACTTTTATTCTCACCTTGTAATTGGCTGGAGTTCCACTTTAATTTGGTATTGGCTTGCTGTTACATGGTGTCTGACCATTCTCTGACCACGGTCTTCTTTACCATGTTGCTTAAAATAGGGAATTTGCCTACAGTCTCGAACACAGCTTGTATAAAATACAAATGTAATACAAGAAAATATTATGTTGTATTTTAACTTAAAAGGAGGGTGAAAGACTGAGCCGATTCTTCAGTCTGCCATCTTCACTAAGGGAAATCGGCAGTGAATCCGCTAGGCTTCACTGCTGGTTTCCCACTGCACATGCGGGAAGCTTATGCTGCATTTTATGAATGGGCTGCAGTCCTCTGGGACCTTGGAAGTGTCCCAGAGGGCTGCGGGAGGTGCTGAACTTCCGGCTCAGTTCGCCAAGGTGAACTCAGCTGGAAGTGGGAGCGAATACCTGTCAAAACCATGGTACCTGCTCCCCGAAAAAGGTGCCAAATGTGGCGGGGGGAGGCAGAAAAGCGGAGCTTCCACTTTTGGGTGAAACTCTGCTTTAACATTTAACTCCTGGTATCATAATAATGATCATTGTTTGCAGTGTTTATATAGTATGACATACAGTATTTTGCTGTTTTACAGTTCATATAACTACTCACACCAGTCCTTGTTTCATGAAGCAATTTGTAATCTAATGTTTCCACTGCACTTATACATTGGGGCAATTAAATATGAATCTAGTTAATTTGCAAGTATGTTTTTGGATTGTGAGGTGCAAACTGGAGCATCTGGAGAAAACATGAAGACATGGGGAAGAATAGACTTCATTTAGAGTCAAGTCCTGGACTCAGAACTACAATGATCTCTATCATCTTTGCGTCTCATTTATTTCTACATTCTTGAAAAACCTTAAGTAATAACATAACCACCTTCTGTAAGGGTCTGTAGTCAAGGCTTCACAACAGATTGCTTGACCACATCTCTGCTGTTGTACCCTGTGGGCTGTTTGGAAATGTACTCCCAGAAGCGGATTCTGCGTTACTTGCAAGTGATACCCCCCCATATCTTTTAAAGGAAAGAGCGTGCATATATTAGCACCTTTTGTGACAATAGTAATTACGTTTAGAATGCTACAGCTATTCTTTTCATTTTTGATTTTTTTGTTTGGACAGCTAGAAAGCTTGTCATGCAGAGGTTTATCTTTTGATATACTTAGTAATGGGTTTAGAGGGAGGAACATTTGTGACTGATCATTGTTTCAAAAACAGATCAGTTATGGTGTGGTAATTCACTGCATAGGTGTACACTTTATGATCATTAAGGTATTGATGAGCAAATGTATAGAGGGTTGTAAGAACCACGTCCAGCTCCTGAACCACTGGTTAAATACTGATATTCTATGGTCGTGATTACATGGTCATATCTGCTCTTTTTTGGGGGGTTTGTTAAAATCCACGGACAGCATGGTCACAGACCTTTGAACTTCTTGGTGAATGCAGTGGAAGCCATGTGTATTGGAATATTCCATGTCTACTATCCTTCCATTGTATTTGCATAAATTCAAGGAGCCTTCTACCACACAGAGCAAACTTCTACATAATATCCGTTGCATTAACGTGGTGTGGGGTCTGCTGCATTTAGGCAGCCTATTATTTTTGAATGCACTGGTGGTGCACTTCAATGCACAGAAAATTTACTTGCCCCATTATTTGTAACACAGTACACTATATTGCACAGATGATTCACTTTTGTGCTTCGCAGTGTACTAAAATGAACATGTATTGCAGGGTGTCTTTGTTACATGGAGGTGTCATTCGAGATAAATGGCATTGCATCGCACTGCGCTAAGTACAGTGCATTGCTGTAAAATTCATGTTACCGCAACACATACAGTTTGTGTTTATGAGCTCTGAAAGCAGCTAGTGGGAGGCCTGTTCCAGCTGCACTGATACAAATAAATACTCTATGTGCGCATAGTACAAGCACCTATGTACCCAAACCATCAGAGATTTGTTTTTTGTTTAGACAAACTGATTGCTGATAGCTTTTTTTTTTTGTTATGTTATGATGTTCAATTGAAATAAAATAAGTTGTTCCAGGTTGAATCCTAACTAATGGCCGAAACCTTTCATGCAGGCCTGTTTCAAGGTTGTCAATTCTGTGGCGCTTTCATTTACTTTTTATCTCTTCCCAAAGCTTGCTCGGTATCCTCTTGCAGGCTGTGTGGAATAATACTCTATTATACGTTAAGTGCTGCTGCCCATAGAACAGTTTAATGTAATTAGAGGGTCTATGGAAGTGTTGTAAAGACTTATTTTAGAAAGAGGTTGAACTTTCTTTAGTGAAGAACACTGAGAACATTGAGGCTGCTCACTTGGGAACAATGAACTTGTTTCTTGAGCAGAGAGAATTCTGAAGCCACTGTTTCTTGCACAGTATATGAAGTGTCTAATGGTACTCATTTCCATCGTATACTTTTCCTCTTTTTTTTAATCATCAGGAGTCTTGTGTTTTGTGAGTAACTTCTGAAATTGATTCTGATGTGCCCTTTTATATTGTAGTTAGGGAAGGTCGGCCATACTAACTGTAATAAGCATGCATAGGTTTCCAGTGTAATAAGGATTCTGTAGTTCATTAGATTTTCCTTTGCCATAGCACAATTATGTTTTTTGGGGGGGGGGGGGAATGATAATGATAATGTCTCATATTTATAGCAACAGCAACATAAAGCGGTTTTTAGCGTATGTAGATCCATTCCTCATCCCCTCCACATAGGTTCTTCTATGTAGGTGTCCCTGCTACTAGATTAATACTACCAAGTTAGTTTTGGACATACAGATGTGAACCCACAAAGTGTGGGGGAGAAGACATCTGTCAGTCATTTATAACATCAGGGCACACCATCTTTTAATTATGCAACTTGAGTGGCTGATCTTTGTAGTAATCTTGCAGCCAGTTTTGAACTGAAAGGCTGAGCAATGGGAGCTTCAGATTGACTGCAAAACTTACAGTCCAGTTGAACCCTTTCTCTTTACTGTAAGTGCAGCCTGACTGCATTACATCAATAATCAACAAGGGTTCAGATTGGCTTTAACCTCTTGCCCTGCAGAGGATTTACCCCCTTCCTGACCAGGCCATTTTTTGCATTACGGCGCTGCATTACTTTAACTGACAATTGCGTAGTCATGCAACGCTGCACCCAAATGAAATTTTTTTCCCACAAATAGAGCTTTCTTTCGGTAGTATTTGATCGCCTGTGCATTTTTTCATTTTTTCACTATAAACAAAAAAAACCTGACAATTTTGAGAAAATAAACTATATTTTTGACCTTTTGCTATTAAATGTCCAATAAAGACATTTTAAAAAAATCAATTTTCATCTACCCAAAAATGCGAAAATCACTTATATATACATGATTTTGCGCATCCCTGCCACCCTGTAGCAGTATTTCTGCTATAGGGCGGCGGGAAAGCAGTTAAAGTAGATTCTAATATATTGATATTTCTGCATGTGACTTGCATAAAAGTCTTTTCTTCACCCCAGAAAACGTTTTTTTTTTTTTTTTTTTTTTTTTTTTTTTTTGAGCAATGGAGTATGTCGCGTGACCAGTTTAGAAGTAGGTTGTGCTTAGACTGTATTATATTGTCAACAGGATATCACACTGTCATTGTTAGTTGGTAGAGGGCTGTTATCATACCAGTAATAATTTGTCAGCAAAAGCAGGTCCCTTTGGAAGGCTGGGCACTGGAAAATCAACACTGGAGAGTTCCTTGGATTGAAAGGAGAATGTATCAGTCGCTAGTCAGGGGGAAAAAAATAGGTTGTTCACTGAATGAACTGATACTAAAACCGAAGCTCAGATGTTCTGGCCACATAATAGGAATGCAGGGCTGAATGGTGAAGACTGTTACTCTGGGAACAGTTGAAGGCAAAATGCTCTCATGGTGGAGGTTGAAGTTGTACACACAGTAACTCGGGGAAACAGCTGGACCCTAATAAACAAAAACAATGCTAACAAGACTTCTTTATTGAGCCATTACCCTCTGCGTGTCAGTTCTTTTTTTCATGCCACTAGGACAGAAGATTTAGCCCCAAAAAAAAGCCACAATTTTGTCCACTTTTTTTTTTTTTTCTTTTTTATGATATGTATTTCAGAGACAAATGATTGGGTACTAATGTTTTGCTACAACTCTGTACTCTTTTGTGTCGCCGTGTGGTAGAAGAGAAAAGCAGATTGTCACAAGCCCATAGACTACAGCTTCTTTTGCCAAGCAGGCAGCATATGTAGTAGCATGAAAAAGATCCGTTGTGGAAAGATAAGCCGCCAATATTCTCCTGTCTGAAATGTATCTGTCATGTTAATCAGGAAAGCCTGTTTTAAGAAAATGTTTTCCAGATTACATTGTAGTTTATTATACGATTACTGCACTTTACTTTGAAGTTCTGTAATGTTTTCCGTTTCAGATGGGCCTCATTTTTGCCTGGTTCTCTTGAGAGCAGCATTTGCTTATGTTCTGCGTAGATAAGATCTGTCCCCATAACCCTGTGCTTGTAAACATGTATATATTTTACTGTAGACATAGCAAATCTGCCCTCCA